GTTTGTTCGTGTTCGGCTCGTTTTGACTCGAAATACTACTAATCAATTATATATATCTTTGATGAGTAGTATTTTTAAAAAAATTAATTAACTAAAAGGCTACAAAGATTTATATACAATTAAAAGTATTAATGAAGCAAATAGAATAAAAAAATATTAAATTAGATTCAAATAATGTTTTAAATCTTGCCCCAATCCTTAACATCTTATGACTATGTGATTAATGTTGTCAAAACGACTCTTTGTTTGTGAATTCGGCTCGCTAAGAAAATGAGCCGAACACGAACACACTTTTTGAGCTCGAAATATAAACGAGTCGAACATGAGCGAGTCTTTGTCTCGTTTACACCCCTAGTCAGACATGACATAAAGATATATGTTTTAAGATAATCAATTTATTTATTGTGGAAGAGAAGAAATAATAGTAATCCAACTTAATGTCATAATAAAGCAACAAGAAAAATGAGTAATTATATATTAGATAGAAGAAAAGAATTCACTTGATATAAATGTAATTAATTGTTATTTTAAAATATTTCTAATAATTTAAAGAATAAACTAAAAATATAATATATTTTGAATATATTTTATATTAATATTTTTTTTTTTCAAATGATATGACCATAACACGCCTAGTGCAGCCGGGTAGCTTGCTAGTATATCGAGCTTGCCGCTTATGTCACTTATTGAGCCAAACTAGAGCCAGCTCATAGACAACTTGGCTTAGTAACACCATAAGACAGCCTAAATATAAATGAAATTTAAATTTTAAATTATTTTGAAAATATATTTTAAAAAATAAACCTTACTGAGACACCTTGGTAATACATTTAAGAAATAAAATTTGACATTAAATCAAAAAAATCAAATATTAAAATTATATCAACAAGAATGGGAACAAAATAATGTCAAATGGGTTCTTAATTTTTAAAATCCATACTATTAAATGAGCCCCCAGCACCCTCGAATGTCTACCACTTGATCTCGCACTACAAGGCAGATGCACTTGGGTGGGCTCAAACTTGTGACCCCAGAAGTCTCACGACTGATTTAGCAGCTGTCAACTAAAAAATCATGACGAGCGGCTATATATTAATGAAAATATATGTTAACTTTTAGCCATAGTGATACAAATCATGAATCTAAAAAGGTTTCCCAACATTATAAAAAGGATCTTTTTGAAGTTCTCAACCAACCAAAAGAGCCCTCTAAACTACTCATATTTGCGAATTTCAAAGCACAAAAAACAGAGGAATAAGAAATTAATATACAATATGCAACATGTTCTCGATAAAGAGGAAATATTGAAAATATATAATAATATTTCACATGTTAATATAATAATTTAAACAAATATAACATTCCCTATAATGTAATGATGCTATAACAAGGAACATCAAAAGCAATGAGGCACTTGGTTGAGCACTGCCTATTCTTAAATTTGTGATTTTTTTTTATATAAATAATTAAAATTTTAATACTTTTTTTTTTCTATATAATTTAGGCAATTAAAAATTATTGAGCCGAGCCACTCGCAACATGAATTGCTTTTCGAACGCTTAATCCATTCGTAGCCCTATCACTCGGCATCGCTCGCACTCACCGGGCACGATGTATGCCTCACCCTCTGTCTCTCCAACACCCCGAAGTCATTTTCGTCTCGTTGTTAACTAAAAAAGTCTCGGAATTCTCTCAACAAAGTGTTGAATTTAACTCGGAAGTATCAAATTTTGAGTGTTAGATATATAAATACATGAGTATTATGCAGCGTGTTTGTAAATTCCCCTAATTAAATTATGGTCAAGTCAAAATTGTTACATTTATTTGGAAATAAAAATGATTAAATCCTTCTCAAACAATAACATTTAGAGTAGGGGTGTAAACGAGCCAAACTTGAACAAATAGAGCTTCTGTTCATGTTCGGTTCATTTAAAATTTAATTTGTTTGAAATAAGCACGTGTTCAAAATTGTTCGTGAAGTTATTGTTCGTGTTCGAAAAAGCAGAACACGAGCTGTTCGCGAACGACGAGCCAGTTTGACATCCCTAATATTAATATATATAAATAATATATTATATTAATTATATAACTTATATTATATAAATATACAATATCTATATTAGTATATTACTAACATAATATATTAATATATTATTATTTTTAATTTATTTTATAT